AAGTGGTTAAGACGCTGAACTGCAGGCTGTGGAAGGTCAGTAGTTCAGCAGTTCGAGACCTGGGTGCCGCATGATGGAGTGAGTTCCCATCTCTAGTTCCAGCTCCTGCCAACCTAGCAGTTCGAAAGCAAGTAATTGCAAGTAGATACATAGGTACCACTTCGGTGGGAAGGTAACAGCGTTCCCACTGGCTTTGCCTCTCTGCCTGGTTGTGGCAGGGAGACAGGCGTGGGTCAGAGCCCTGACTCCACCAGACACCTTTCCAGCTGGGAGAGGTGCTTAGAAATCCTACTCAGGAGGGAGTATGTGGTTCCTCAGGTGAGGAACCTACTGGCTTTGCCTCTCTGCCTGGCTGTGGCAGAGGTACAGGGGGTGGGTCAGACCCCTGAGCCCACTGGATATCTCTCCAGCCGGGAAAGGTGCACAAAAATTCCACTTCGGGGTGAAACTCAGTAGCTTTGCCTCTCTGTAGCAGAAGAAAAGGTGCCTCACAGTCTCGAAGCACCAACACTGTTGACTTTCAATTCTTTCCCCCTCTCTCCAACAGTCCTTCTCTAATTGCAGCCTGCTGCAAAGTGAAAGCAGTTACGTGAGCTGGCTATATATCCCTACTGCTCCCATAGAGCAGAATGGGAGCTCTCTGGTTGGCAGCTAGAGTGGCCTATCAAACCTTGGGGGACTAGGATTGGTGTTTCAAGGGCTGTAGAAGTCCATCCCCACCACCCCTTGCCTTGACAATTGATTCATCAGTGCCAGCGTGTCTGGCCTACAAAGTGCTCCCACAACCCCCCTGCAAAACCCGGTTCAGTTCATGGGCAAACCAATTGCATGAACTTCAGTTGGTGAACTACAAACCAGACCCAGTTCGTGACAAACTTCAGTTTGTAATTTAGTTTGTTCCTATCCTCCCTAGTTATTACACATGCCAGTGTCAGAGCAGTCTGCCATCATTGCCAGGGCCAGGTTTCTCAAAATCCATTCCACTTTTTCGTTGCAACTTTTGTTTGCTGTAATGTATTTTAATGGAGCATGTGCAAGTCAACTGTCATTCCTTTTGTTTGCTGTAATGTATTTCAATGGAGCTCAGGAAAATCAGATGGCCTTCTTGGCTCCCATTATATCCACTTGGCCTTCAGACATCTCCCATTATTCTCAACGGGCACTGTTGTACTTTGTTTTAGTACAGCCCCCTTTTGCCATGCCGATGGTTGCCAACCTCCAGGCAGCACCTGGAGATCTCCTGCTATTCCAACTGATCTCCAGGCAACCGAGATCAGTACCCCTGGAGTAAATGGCTGCTTTGGAAAGTGGGACTGTATGGCATCAGTGTTCCCTCCAAGCTGAGTTAGGGCGAACTAGCTCACAGTTTTTTCGCTTCCGGCTCACACATTTTTGTCTTAACCCAGGAAGGGAGCAAACTAAGTTATGCAGCAGCCAAATCGCTCGCTCACAACTTTAATGCCCATAGCTCCCAACATAGAATTTCTGCTCACAAGACTCCATAGCTTAGAAGGAGCATTGTATGGCATTATAGACACACTCCGAGGTCCTTCTTCTCCCCAAACCCTGTCCTCCCCAGGCTCCACCCCCACCCACCCCAAACCACCAGGTATTTCCCAACCGAGAGCTAGAAATCCTCCTCTGGGACCCCAAGACTCCATAGCTTAGAAGGAGCATTGTATGGCATTATAGACACACTCCGAGGTCCTTCTTCTCCCCAAACCCTGTCCTCCCCAGGCTCCACCCCCACCCACCCCAAACCACCAGGTATTTCCCAACCGAGAGCTAGAAATCCTCCTCTGGGACCCTTGCCCAACTGCTGGGGCCCTTGATCTCCACCCAGGCACTGCCTTCCCCCTCCTCAGCACTCCAGAATCCAGGCACAGAGTCCTCCCGGTCCCAAGGAAGCTCGTTTCTCCCACCCCCCATTTCAGGGAGCGGGAGCGAGATCAGAGTCTCGCGGTCCTCCTCCCCGGCGGAGGCTGGCGGAAGAGAAGGGGCCCGGCCCCTCCCGCGCGCCGTCTCTATGGAAGGGGTGGCGTCACATCCGGCTCCGCCCGCAGCTCCTTCCGCCGTAGTTGCAGGAACGCCTTTTGTGCCAGTGAAGCCGCAGAGATTCCGTCATGGTAGGGAAGCCGTGGCGCGGGCCGTTCTCCCCTCTCGGGATAGGTCCGCCTTTGTAGGGTGGGGCCCGGAAGCGGGTGAGCTGGTCGTTAGAACAAGCAGGGGGGTGCTTCTCTGTCCCTCCCGGTGGGGGGCTCAGGGGACGGGGGGTCGTCGCGCTCTCTCTTCTCCATCTTCGCGGCGTTCCTGCGCTAACAAGCGCGGGGATTGCTATGGAGCAGAGGGCTCCCAACGAGATACAGGGACGCGCTGATTTATCAGTCGTTGGGGTTGAAGAAGCCCCAGAAGGGTGCTCTGGGTTTGCAGCAGCAGCAGCAGAAGTCCCGGGTGGGGGTGGGGGGATTAAAATACTAGCATGCGCTGGAACCGCATCCTGTGCTGATGAGTCATGCTTCGGCTTGGAGCATTTTTGGCTGCAGTAATGGTAGGGATAGCTTGGATTTCCGGTCGCACCCAAAAGCTGCTCTTTTATTCCAAGCCTTTGTGTTGCTTAAGCTCCCTCCTGCAAATCTAGGTTGGAGGGGGGCGTCTCTATTCAGACTGTCACCCCCCCCTCCATCCCCACAGTTTGCTGCTTCCTGGTGGAGACTCCTCTGTGGGGTGTTGGCAGCAAACCGCAGTCCCTGCTTGATACCGCCTAGGTTTAAACTGTGCTTGTTTGCATATTATTTTGTTCATACAGTCTCCTAGGCAGGTTTCCCACATGGCACGCTTTTCTCTGAACTTTTAGGCCCTGATAATGATGCATTTCTCAGCTTTGCTTGGCTCAATAGAAAATACTAAGGATGTTGTAATAAACAGGGGTGGTTTAGAGCTGGCTGAATTTGAGATTCGGGGAAACTTTATTCCATTGAATGGTTACTCAGAGGTTGATAGAGCCAGTGTAATAGATTGTATCCTGGCCCCTCTTGAATATCTCCCCCACTTTGAGTTCCTAAAAGTTGGTGATTTCATGGGAAGTAATCATGTCCCAGTCTCCTTTTGTATAGATCGATCTCTAGCACGTTATCTTCTTCCAGCACACAGCTCTTCCCTCTTTCCCAAAATCAAAAGAAAGTTTGTCGGTTGTGCTGGAGCGCCAGCTCTAGTGACATGGCTCGAACCGTAATGGGTTCCATCCCTTGTAATATTCTTGTTAACAAGGTTTTGCAGTCTGATTCAGTGCTCAACTGTTTGCATCATTTGGATGAGGTATTAAAATTGTTGAGGACCCTTCTATGTGAAAAAGAACCTTGATATGACCGCCTCCAAAGTGGAGGAATAGTTGATTTAATAGTGACTGTAAAAGAATGAAAAGGCGGTGTCAGTAGAAGCACCACAAATTTCAGAGTAACTGTACAACATCCGCTCTTCGAGACCTGATAGAACTGAAGAAAATGTACAGAGAACTGATTAAAACGGGGAGACAGAGTGCCCTTAATAAGGAATGGGGATATCTCGTTTCAGTTATGAATAACAACAATAATAGGGATTTCTGGTTTGTCGTCAATACTACTATAAACCCAGCCTCTAAAACCCCATGCTGTATTGCCTCTCTGAAATGGGAGAACTATTTCAAGAAGCAATTCTCTGATGCTAGTGCTAGTACACCTACTACAGCCTTTATTATTCTTGGTCCCAGGTATCAATTAAGGAGGTCATTTGCCTTATCAAGGGATTAAAACTAGGCTCTGATCTAATCCCTAATGAGCTATTTAAGGCTGGTCCACAATGGTGAGCCACAGTTCTGGCCCCAATTTTCACAACATCAGTGGACAAGTACCGAGTTTATGGAAACACTCTATTATTGTCCCAGTATTTAAAAAGGGGCCCAGAAGTGATCAACCAATCAGCCTCCTTTCTTCTTTAGGAAAGCTATACTTCTCTACTAAAGGAGCTCCTGGATGGGATGGAACCAGAAACCTTATTGGGATAGGAACAGATAGGATTTAGGCGGGGTTCTGTGTGACATACGACCTCTGCCTAGTTCTTTATCACCTGGCTGAGAAATACTCATCCTTTAAGGGGTGGGGTGTCTATATGTGACTTTTATTGACCTCAAAGGGGGGGGCGCTTCAATTCTGTAAATTGCCCCAGCTTGTGGAACAAACTTAATCAGACTGCTGTGGACAAAAGACTCCTAGGACTTATTCAGCTACTATATTCGAGTTCAGCTGCCCAAGTATGATGCCAGTATGATAGGAATATAACAAATTTTTTTTTTGACTTGCCCAACCAAATTGGGCAAAGTTTATTACTTATTTTTTAACAATTTACATAGAAAAGAGCCATACATTTTAAAATAGCAAGCTGAATATCTCGCTCACATCATCATATTTGCATACAGCTTGGTTTAATAGTGTATTTTATTGAATACAAAATAAAACAAGGGGGGGAAATGGAATATAACAAATCTATTTAACTTGGAAAAGGGTGTGTGCCTTTTTTGTTTAATTTATATTTAAACGACGTAGGCAACAGTCTTTAAGGACTGCTGCCATCCACCAAGATTAGCCGAGGCTGCGGTGCCTATTTTTCTTTACACAGATGATGCCGTGGCCTTGTCCCAAACTAGGGTCGGGTTGCAAAGGACCTTGCAGTCTTTATCTAATTATTGCTCTCAAGAAAGCCTGGTGATTAACTATTTGAAATCTCAGATCCTAGTTTTCACCAAGACCAGAAAATGGAACCCATCTCAATGTAACAGCGGGTCCAATATTGAGCAAGTCAAGGCCTTCTATTTGGGGATTTTGTTTTCGGCGTATCTGTCTTGGACCCCTCAACTTAGAACAGTCCTTAATGAAGTGCCATAAATAGGTTCTTTCATAAGGGGAGGGGGAGTGTATTCCTGGAGCATTGCAAGCTTTCAATTTGAAAAGTGGTTCCCCTCATCCTTTATAGCTCAGCTATTTTGATTAAAGCTATCTCTGATAACATCGATCAACCCTTAGCCCAATTTTTAAGGAAAATACTGCATATTCCCTGCTGTGTGTCAAACGTATTGCAAACAGAATTTGGACAGATATCCTTGGAAGCCAGAGCATGGCTTTATGCCTTTAAAATATTATTAAAACAGCTCTGTGCTGATGGTTTGTTAGCTGCTCTAAATGGAGATACCCACAAATCGATTTGGATAAACGCCCTGGATGAGAAACTGATGATGGTTGAAATGTTGATTAATGATATTTGGGGGATGGGCACATCCAAAGCATTTTCTCTGATCAAAAAGTGTGTCCTAGAAATCGATTCTAGTAGCCTGATCCTGAGAGCCTGCAGAGTTTGCTCATGCCTGTCTTTTGGTCTTTCATTCCCAAGATCTTCTCCCCCCCCCCTATTGTATACACTATCTTACCATTCCATGTTACTGTAGAGCCTTTTTTGTTTGCAAGATTGAATATTATACCTACAATGTTTTTACAGGGGAGATTTTTAAATAGTCCCTTTTCCCATAGAATCTGCCTCTGTGGCCTTAATAGGGATAGATACAGCGATAAATTACTCTAGTAACTGAAAAAATTTCAGACCTTTTAACCCTTGCATCAAAAAAAAGAAGCAAGTATCTGCTGCTGCTCAAGATCTGTGAATCAATGAGCTTCTAAGAGTATAAAAGGAACAGAAAGTAGTCATGATCATGTGTAGAGTGCTTTCTGCTGAGTAACCAGCATGTTTGTGATTGTAGAAAAAAATAGCCAGGCATCATGACTTTCAGATTCTGGGCTAGAAGCACTTGAGAAAGTATGGCTTTTGTGGGCTCTTTCAGTAGTATGGGGTTGTCTGATACTACAGTCCATTCTACAGGAGAAGGGCCTTGGCTGTTTTCATCTACCTATTGATGCATTCATGGGTGTGTCTGGGGCAAATGTTGTTCCTGTTCATTCTATGTCAATGAGACCTCGAGCTGTTCCTTTTGTATTTAAATAAGAATGGAAGAGTGCTGGCTGGATCAGACCAGTGGTCCATCTAATCCGGCATCTTGATTTCCAGGAGTTACCACCCGAGCAGGTCATGGAAGCCAATGCCTTTCCCCTGGTGTTGCTTCCCAAAAGCTGGTATTCAGAGGTACACTTCAAAATTCTTTTTCGCTATCACAGCTAACAGCCATAAATAGGTCTGGTCCACTGCCTATTCTGAATGTCCTGCCCATCAACTAAATGGGGTGTCCCTGAGTTCTAGTATTTTGGGAGAGGCAGAAAAACTTATTTCCCCTTCCTCCCCACTATACACAGTTTTATGAACCTCTGTCATCTCCCTGCTTCCTTGCCTTTTTTCCTGGACTGGAAACCTTAAGCCTTTCCTCACAGGGAAAGTGGTCTTTCCTTTTCATCATGTTGGTTGTGCTTTGCTAGCTTTACGGTGTTCTTTTTGAGATGGGAGTACCAGAATTGTACAGCATTCCCAATGTAGCCACATCGTAGACCTTTATAACCACATTATGGTACTGGCTGGGTTTTTTTTGACCCCTTTTGTAATAATAATCCCCAACATCGAACCTGCCTGCCAGGGCACGTTGTGATGGCCATGAGCACAGATAGCTTTAAAAGGGGGTTAGACAGATTCATGGAGGAGAGGGACCCATGACGGCTACTAGTCATGATGACTGAAGGAAGCCTCCATATTCATTAGTAACAAAGCCCTGAATACCAGAGCTGGGAAGCAGCAGCAGGGGAGGGACTCAGTTTGTGCTCCAGGGCAACTGGTTGGTGTGACATGAGATGCTGGCCTACATGGATCACTGGTCAGATCCAATAGGCTTATTCTGATCTTATGGTTTTTCCCACCCATTCTGCCGCCGCTTTCATTGAACCAGTTAATCACACAACCCCAAGATCTTTTTTCCCTGTACATGTGTAAAATCACCACAGTTTTAGCACCATGCATGAATTCGTTTGTTCCAGAGTGCATCATTGTATACTTCTGTACGCTGAACCTCATCTGACGCTTTGAGGACCCCTCACTCTTCCCTCCCTCAGAGGCAGATTTTTCCCTCCAAAAAGTTTTTGTTCCCTTCCGTGACTGAGCCGCCTCAAGTAATGTGGTTTTCTTCCTCGACTTTAAAAAAAAAAAAAAAAGAGGCACACACCAATCAAGCCTTGAGTGAGCAGCTGACTCTGGAGCCTGGAACCTGAGGGAAGATTCAGGAGCCGTCTTTACTTCAACCCCTCCTCCAAATGGCACTCGAGACGACGTAAAAGTCAGACAGAACAAGAGATTTTATTTAAAAGACAGGGGAAGGTCAGGGGAAGTCAGGAGTTGTTAACGTCGAGGCAGAAATCAGTGGTTGTACGGATTGTAGTTCTTTATACAGGCAAATGAGAGTTATTGCAGATTATTTTCTTAGTTATTGAGGTCTTAATATTGAGAGGCTTTCCCCCTGTGTTTCCCAAACACCACAGTTCTTCTTAATAGAATTTCCTATTTCTCCTCTGGTTTCCTTGAGGCTGGTACTTTCTTTCAAGATCTAACTCCCTTCCTTTTAGTCCCTAATTTCTATCTAGCTCTTGAGGCGTCTCAAGCAGTTTCCTTTCACAACAGACCAGGGACGATCTCCTCCCAGAGAGAACTCTCCCTGTTTAACTGGGCAGGGATTCTTCTTATTTCCCTAGACGATATCCTCCCTTTCCTTTGACCTGAATGGGAGTCTCATCTCACTATCCAAACAACCCTGCCGAATCTCATTTGCCGTTCTCGTGTGAGCCCAGGTTGGGACTCAGACTCTTTCAGTTCTTTGCCTGAATTCTCCCTCATAGCGGATTTTCAACAGTTATGATACAGAATCCCCTCTCTCCTCTCAAATCAGGAATCTGTCAGAATAATCACACACCCCCCCCCAGCATCCAGCTAATATTGTTTCTTCAGGCTGGTGCTGGCCAATCGGAGTGCTTGGAGCAGCCTGTCACTCAAAGCCTGGCTCCAATCCTGTGAGGATTTCACATACCCTCACAGTGCAGCACTTTGCAGCTTGTTTTAAGGGCTGTCCATCACAGCTTCCTATTCCCCCAATTTGGCGGGATTTTTGTCTTCATGAGCCACTTTGGTTTTTGCCATTATGAATAACTTGGTGTCATCCGCAAACGTGGCCTTTTCCTGCGTTGATTACTGCTTATTTCAAATCGCTAATGAACAAAATAAACAGCACTGGTCCTAATAAAGGTCTCTGACAGACCCCACCAGTGTTCCCTCTAAGCTGAGTTAGTGTGAGCTAGTTCAGTTTTTTGGCCTCCGGCTCACACCTTTTGTCTTAGCTCAGGAAGGAGGGCTCCAGAGCAAACTAATTTATGCAGCAGCCAGATTGCTCGCTCACAACTTTAATGCCAGTAGCTCACAAAGTAGAATTTTTGCTCACAGCTTAGAGCGAGCATTGGACCCCACTGCTTGCTTCCTTCCGTGGTCAGAATGAGCAAAGTTATCATGGCAGAGCATGGCAGGAGGGGTAGCCCTACAGATATGTGGGTCCAAGGGCACATAAGAGCTTTGTAGGTGATATCCAGCATCTCAAATTGGACCCAGGAACTGGTCCAATGAAGGGTCTGCACATTGAGTGTGATAAGCATAACCTGCCTAGTGCCCCACAGTAACTGAGTTGTAGAGCTCCACACTAACTTGAGTTTCCAAATTGTCTGTAAAGTGCAAACCCCTGTAGAGTGCATTGCAATAGTGTAGCCTTGAGATAATCATAGGATGGAGCCACATGGCCACGTCAAAGTATGGGACCATTTGCACTAAATGTGGCAGTGAATTCCACATGTTCATTGCTCTTTGGGTGAAGAAGGACTTCCTTTTATCCATTATAAGCCTACTGCTCATTAATTTCATTGGGTGCCCATGAGGTCTTGTATTGTGAGAAAGGGAGAAAATAACTTCTTTATCTTCTCTATCCCATGCATAATTTTTGTAAACCTCTATCATGTCACCCCTCAATCGTCATTTCTCCAAGCTAAAGGACCCTAACCTCTTTAACCTTTCTTCATAGGGAAGGTGTTCCACCCCTCTAATCATTTTAGTTGTCCTTTTCTGCACCCTTTCCAGTGTTATAACATCTTTTTTGAGATGTGGTGACCAGAACTGTACTTTTAGTTTTGATAATTGTGTAACAATAGCAAAACTGTGTAACTATAGCAAAAAAAAAAAAAGCAGAAGAGGTTTGGAGTAAAAGTTGTTGCAAATTTTGGTTTGGTTTCCTACGATAACTTACGACAAGCACTTCATCCTGAGTGTCGTTCTGCCTGCGTTGCCTGTCGGAGGCTTGGGTCCAACCATGTGGAAATGCAAACAGATTTTTGCAGAAGATCTTGTGCAACACACCTAGCACTTTCCTCCTCCTATATCACGAGGCCCAAAAACCGGTTACACAGGATCTTGCATAAGCGGAAAGGCAAGCAGGGGCAGTGGCTGCCGCAGCTTTTTTCTTGCATTTCTGCTTACACAAGAGCTCTAGTACAAGTGGACATTTGGGCTGGGCCCAACCCAAAAGGTTTTTTGTTCGTCTGTTTGCCGTCAGGTCACAACTGATTCATGGCGGTCCCTGGTGGGGTTTTCAAAGCAAGAGATGTTCAGCGGTGGCTTGCTTTTGTCTGCTTTCACATCATGGTTCTAATATTCCTTGGAAGTCTCCCGTCCAAATACTAGCCAGGGCTTGACCCTGCTTAGCTTTCCAGGATCTGATGAGATCAGGCTAGCCTGGGCTATCCAGGTCAGGTCACCCAAAAGTTACTATGGTCCCAGTCACACGGGCAGGAAAATGCGCGGGGGGTGGTGGTGGTGGGGAACGTGGCTGTTAGCCCCGGGGCTAAAAACCGCACGGTTGCTTGATCAGACCTACCGATCGAGGTCCCGTGGTAGGGGGGAGGTGCCGATCACTCCACTGTCCTGCGGCGCGGCAAAGAAGCGGGGCAAACAGGTTGTTTGTTTTTTTAATTTAAACTCAAATGTGCGCATGCTCCCTTGGGTGCGTGTGCACATCCGTGGAGACTTTGAAAAAAAATTTCCGGGGGGACATGGGTGGGCGCCGGAACTACCTCCGGAAACGTGATCAGACGCCCGCCCTTGCCCCGCGGTTTCAGAAAACTAGTACCTCCGAGGTACTAGTTTTTTACTGCGCGTCTTCGGCGGGAAGCCTCGGTTGCGCCACGGGAGCCCGACGCTTCCCAGATGTGCCGGTGAGATCACGCCCAGAAACTCCGCCTATCTTCCGTCCCTCTAGCGTGCCTAATGCTCCGTGTGACCGCAGCCTATGTTAGAAATGACTATTCAGTGCATAGGAATTTCTCGTCGCTCTAAGCAATGACTGTAAGCCAAAGAAAGGAATGGGGACTCCTAAAGCCATCTTGTATGCCAACAGGCATCCGGTGTCCAGGTCGCTGACGAGGTCTGTCGTATCTTTTACGACATGAAAGTTCGAAAGTGTTCTACACCCGAGGAAGTCAAGAAGAGGAAAAAGGCAGTTATCTTTTGCCTCAGCCCAGACAAGAAATGCATTGTCGTGGAGGAAGGCAAAGAGATCCTCGTGGGCGACATTGGCGTGACGGTCATGGATCCTTTCAAGCACTTTGTGCAGATGTTGCCAGAAAAAGATTGCCGCTATGCCTTGTACGATGCAAGCTTTGAAACAAAGGAGTCCAAAAAAGAGGAGCTGATGTTCTTCTTGTGGTAAGGTTAAAAAAGCGACAGCGCGTGGGCGGCAGTGCCATGCAGCATTCTGGGTCTCTGCCAATTAAGTTACAAGAACAAACACAGCAGATATGTTAGGGATACTGTGAGCACTGTCTGCATGGTCAGAAGAGAAATGTCCATCCTTGTTGGGGGAGGGAGTCTTGCTTGGGATCATGGTGCATCTATGTACTGGCACCCTTGTACTCCTTCAAGACTCTTGCAGAAGGGAGGTGAGTTTTGCACCCAAGGCAGTGTGCCCCCCCCCCCCGGTAATGAGTCTGGTGCTCTCGGGGGGGAAATCTCAGGTGAACTCTGTCATGTGTGACCTAAGGAAAGAGGCAGGTTTTGTCTTCTTGTCAAATTTGTCCCAGAATGCAGCCTGCTACTTTTGTCCCACTGCACCCATTTTACTTGCATGTCTCTGCCCTAATTTCCATTTTTTGGCCACACAAGATTGTAATGGAATCAACACAAATACAAATACAATACCTTTATTGGAATCCATGAACTAGCTTTTTAGTACTGCGAGAGGAAAAGGATCTTGTCCATGCAGTGGTGTCTGCTATTTTTAAAAGTATGGAATAAAGCTACTCTTGTGGCTTGGTGATTATTTATTTATTTGTTTGTTTTGTTTTATTAGATTTACTAGGCCTCCCTTCCCTAGAAACAGGGCTCAGGGCAGCTTACAACAAAATAGTGTATAAATCTAAATTTAAAACTAAGTTAAAATAACCCAATAATCACTAATAAATAAAAACAGCATACATATAGTATATAAGATGGCGGAAAGAATTCCAGCTCCCCAGCCTCCCGGGGGAGGGGGGTTACGAGGGATGGGGAATTATGTAAGAGTACCAAGGACGCCCTGTCGAAGGCCCGGCAGTGCATGCCCTGCGGAAAGGTAACAACTCCCACAGGGCATAGATGTCTTCTGGCAGAGCGTTCCACCAGGCAGGTGCCAGGGCCGAGAAAGTCCTGGCCCTGGTCAAGGACAGCCAGACCAGGGACCACCAAGAGGTTCTCATTTCCTCCGTGTAGTGCTCTTCCAGGGGCATACTGGGGGAGGTGATCCTGAAGATATGTAGGTCACTAACCTTGGTTTGTTTGAATCTACTAACCAGGGCACCAGAAGGGGCTCCACTTAAAATGAAAATGATCTACGCAAGCTCTAAAGATGCAATCAGAAAGAAATTTCAAGGTATGTAATCTCAAGTGGTCCTTCACTCATTATCAGACGTTTTCTGTGTTGGGAGCAATGTTCCCTCCAAGCTGTGGAGTCTTGTGAGCAAAAATTCTGCTTTGTTGAGCTACCAGCAGTAAAGTTGTGAGTAAGCGATTTGGCTACTGTGTAAATTAGTTTGCTCTGGAGTCATCCTTCCTGAGTAAAGGCGAAAATCTGTGGGCTGGAGGCTAAAAAACTGTGAGCTAGCTCACCCTAACTCAGCTTAGAGGGAGCACTGGTTGGGAGTTAATATTTTTAAAGAATTGCTGTTTTGCAGGACTGCTGATCAAGGTAAACTAACTGACATAAGGTTACCTGATGCTCCAGGTAAATAAGAGTTGCACTCGTGCCTAAGAGCAAAATCCATGTGCAAGCCCACTGAAATGAACATGACCTATGCACGAATACCATACAAATCAATACTTCATTTTAATTCGTATTGTATGGGAGAACTTTCTGGTGGATTGTGCCACACAGAAGCTTGGCAAAAGCTGCCTGGTTTTGTTTGGTACATAATTATTGCCCTGTTGTGTACTATACAGAGTGTATTTTCCTGTGCACCACTACTACCAGCTGAGGTGGCTATTCTTGTCTAGTGAGGTGGGTTGTTAGAAACCAAGACTTGCTGACGTGCCTCCTTTCCCCACTCTTCTCCACATTCTCTAACCGCTGTTGCCATCAAACCTCCGTTTTGGTTCGCCTTCTTCCTTCCCCACCCATTTTTAACATAGTACCAGCTTCTTTCTAGCTATTACAGCACCAAAATGTGGAAAGCTAGTGGAAGAAGTAGAATCACACCAAATCCCATTACCTTGTTGAGGAACACAGCCTTTCCAGAGAGCAGTGACTTCACCAGGTGTTGAGCCATTAATCAAGGCATTTCCAAGTGGTCAATGTGCTGTTTACCACAAAAGGCTCATGCTGTGTTAACATTATGTCGAGGAAAAGGACACACAGAACAGGTGATCTGTTTGTATTGCCCAGCAAAACCTCAATTCGATGAGACTGCCTCCAGATAGACTTTCACCATCTGGAGATGTCCCACTCCTTTTTAGAAATATTTTTAGGAGCCTGAACCACCCCTCCTCCCTGTCAGCTGGCCAGATGGCACAACTCCATGCCCTCTTTGCCTTGTTCTATCCTTGTTCTAAGCCTGGTTAAGAGAAGATTGTGTGGTGTGTGTTTGACTCAAGCCCCTTGCCTTATAACTGGGGCCAGAACCTGTCCCTCAATCAAACCTGCGCCTGCCCACGAATGCCTGCATCTCATGAGCTGCAAAGCACCTCTCCTGACACACATTACACGTCTCTCCTGTTCTTATTCCAGATTAGTTTTGAATTATTTGCTGCCTGAATGCTGGATCCCTGCCTGGGGAATCTCACCTTTTCCCAGAACGTCACGGATAGGTAGCACTAGTGTCTGCTTTATCTATTGCTCTGCCTGTTTTGGTCTCTTGCCCCCCTCCGCACAGTGTGCATGGAAGTTTGGAATCTGTGGCTCTTAAGATGAGCTGCATAAGTGTTAAGCACAGTATTAAAATGCTTGACATAATTTTGACAGCTTGCATTTACTAATTCGTCAGCCCTGTTCGTTTGTTGTTCCCTCATTATATATTTTTTTGTTTCTGATTACAACCAACCTGGATCGCTGTTATTCCTTTTAGGCTTTTAAAGGAGCAAAGAAGCTTCGTTAGCAGATCCGTCATAGCCCTTTGCATGGTTACTGCCAAGGTTGGGAACTACACCAGAGCCAGTTTGGTGTGGTGGTTAAGTGCGTGGACTCTAATCTGGGAGAACCGGGTTTGACTCCCCACTCCTCAACTTGCACCTGCTGGATGACCTTGGGCAAGGCGTAGTTCTGATAAGAGCTGTCCTTGAAAAAAGAGCAGTTTCTGTCAGAGCTCTCTCAGCCCCGCCCACCTCACAGGGTGTCTGTTGTGGGGAGGGGAAGGGGAAGGAGTTTGTAAGCTGCTCTGAGACACCTTTGGGTGGTGAAGGGCGGGGTATAAATCCAATCTCTTCTTCTTCCTTTAAACTGGGTGTAGAATGTAAACCAGCAGCTCTTTTAGCATAGGAGTGAGAGTCAGCGGAAGGGAGGGTTTCTTGCTTACACTCCAGCAGTTTTTGTGTGGTTCCGAGCCCGACTGGGAAGTCGGCCACATTCATATTGACTGGTATCTAGCTTACATGTGGCTCCCTGGCCACGTGCGACACGGCCAGATTCATGGCGGTCTTCTAAGGATTCTTTGGCTCCTCTCTCCTGTCGCTTTTGCTCCGATAGCGCTTGTGGGCACCTCTTCGGTGACTTCATGATCTCCGGTCCTGCCCACGATTAAATGTGGAATGAGTGAAACACCTGATCTGCTGCACCTGCCTTACTTGTATTTCTTTAATTTTACTTTCCACATATATCCTGCTTTTCTCCCTAATTGGGACTGAAAGCAGCGTGTCCTGTCGCTCTCCCCTCCTGCCCTCTGTCCTTGTGAGGTAGGCGAGGCAGAGGGATTGGCCCAAGGTCACTCCTGAAGCTGCCATGGTAGAGTGAGGATTCAAGCCCAGTTCTCCCAGGTCTTAGCCCTACACTCCAGGTGCTGTGCCGTGCCAGCAGTAAGGGCTTGCAGGGGCCCAGTTTGTCCAGAAGTAGCTACTGGCAGATGTCATACTAGGCTAAACCTATCCTTTCTGTTTAGTTTGATTTTTACATTACCCCCCCCCCACACACACACACACCCTTCTTCTGTGGGACTCTCATTTGGGAGTTGGGTGCTGTGGCCTTGGCTTCCACAGGCCGCGTGACACTTGGTTGCAGAATGATGTCATTCGTTCCTCCAAAGGCCCTCTAGCAAAAAGGAGAGGCTGTCATATTTTTAATTCTGAACTTGGCCCTAGAGTGTGGAGCAAAAAAATCTGCACAAAGGAGCCAGGGACAGACAGGGAGGAGGTCTGGAAAAACCTGAGGGGGGGGGGGGGGATCCAGGTTGGCAGAAAAGTCTGAAAAATAAAAATAAGTTTAAAAATCGGGATAACCCCCCCCCCAAATAATAGAAACAATGTCCATAGCTTTAAGAAACGAATGCCCACTGAGCTCTTACGTGACTACGTTCTGACTTCTCACTGACTCTGTTGGGGGTTGCTAGGTAACTACAACAGTATTGGTGAGCCTCCTTCGTTTCTGTAAATCAAAGGTGGAACAGAGCAGAGGTGAACTAAGAGGCCTAAAACAGCCCAAAACAGCCCATTCCCTGTCATCTCACCTGGTGGAGGAAGCATTTTCTGGGGCCAGGCCTGACAGTGGCCTCTGCACAACTTGCTGGCCTTGTGGCCGTACAACTTGCTTGGGTGACTCACAACTGCAGAGCTTGCATGACTTGACCAGCCTGGAGGTGGCTGCCAAAAAACTCACCCATGCGATTCACGACTGCATGAGTTTTGCTGCTTGGTTGGACTTTTCCTGGGGAGAGGCTGCTGGGGTGGGGGAGGAGGGCAAACTGGAGGGGGCAGATACAGATAGGTTGGTTGGTAGTTGGAGTGAAGGAAGCAGGAAAAAGGGGAGGGGCTATATAGGCTTTCAGGGGAGAGGAAGGAAAGCCGGAGGGGACGGATACAGATAGGTTGGTTGGTAGTTGGAGTGAAGGAAGCAGGAAAAAGGGGAGGGGCTATATAGGCTTTCAGGGGAGAGGAAGGAAAGCCGGAGGGGACGGATACAGATAGGTTGGTTGGTAGTTGGAAGGAAGGAAGCAGGAAAAAGGGGATGGGCTGTATAGGGTATAGGCTGTATAGGTTGCCAGGGGAGAGGAAGGAAAGCTGGAGAGGACAGATAGGCTGGAGAAGAAGGAAGCAGGAAAAGGGGAGAGGCTATATAGGCCACCAGGGGGGGAAAGGAAATAGTGTGGGGAAGGGGAAATGGAGGGAAATTAAACCCTCCCCACAAGCCCATCTTTGAGTCCTACTAGTAGGTTATTTATTTTGTTTTATACCCTGCCTTTCTCCCCGAAGAAGACCAAAAGCAGTTGGCATCATTTTCCACTGCTCCATTTTATCTACACAACAATTCCGAGAGGTGCACGGCTGGCCCGAGGTCACCCAGCGAGCTTCCAAGGCAGAGTGGGGATTCAAACCTGAGACTCCCAGATTCTACTCCGACACTAACCACGATACCACACTGGCTTTCTGTTTACCGACTGATTGAAAAATGCTTCTTTCCTGCCTTTTCCCATTGTGAAACAGTCCCGAGGCTCACAACATATGCAGGCCACAAAAACACGCAAAACAGCAAAACGTTAAGAACAATACAACAGAGTCAAAACTAATTGCGAAAAGACTGTCCACAGCTCACCATAACCTAAAAGAGGAATTCAGCCAAAGTCTCCGTGAACTGAGTGGCTGAGCGTTCCCCTCACCTCCCACCTCCTCTGGTGGGCCATTCCGCAAGACAGGAAGAATGGCTGGGGGGAAAAGGAAACATGATCAGGCAGCCGAGGAACGAACCATCCTATAAGAGGGAATCCAAAGCAGGGCTTAACTCCGTGGCTCCCGCCGCTACCTAACTTGTTCTCTTTCTTTTCTAGGCATAAAGCATGAATGTCAAGCGAATGGGCCAGAGGACCTCAACAGAACATGCATTGCTGAGAAGCTGGGTGGCTCCTTAATAGTGGCCTTCGAAGGCTGCCCTGTGTAGTGCCACACTTAACAAGGATGATATTTGGTGTAAAGGACCAGAGCATTGTTAATTGTCAGGACGTCGTCTCTTTAGAATAAAATAGATTTCGGGGGAAAATGGTTGGCATATAAATAGCCTTTTCAAATTAATAAAAAAAATCCTCTCAAGGTTATATTGTCGTGTGGTGATGTATGTGTTGGGATGACAATCTCTCTATTACCTTCAAGTGTGTAGTCACCATCAAAGTTACAAGACTGCTCTTTCCAGTGAAGTCTTGAGGACTTGTTTGGGTAAAGACAGCAGCTGTGCGAAGAACAGATAAAATCCACTCTTAGAAGGCCACCTAGGGAAAACAGTGCCTCAGAGCGAATAATAGTTTTATACGGATAAAAAGGGATGTGTGACATGAAGGAAGTGTAAACTTCTGGGGTAAATGTGCAGAGATTTTTATTTCTGTGGGGGAAGTAAAGCTACAGCGCATGTAGGCCTCTTGGCAGCACCCTGCCTGTGGAACTGGTGGTAGTTACATTTACTACGGGAGTGGTTTTCTCTCTGAGGTTTTCAGTGAGTGTGCCTCATATTTATGCGGGAAAGAAGGATTCAGAATGCATCAGTTCTGACTGATCAAGCACGATTGGTCAAATAGTGGGCGATTTAACCATTTTCATTGACCTTCATCCTAGCATTGATGAGATGAGGGCCTGAGGCATGAAGCATGTTAGTTGAAAGGGTCAGGCATGACAGAATGAAATGCCAGCCTAACTGTGGTCACACATAAGCCATACTACCAGTCTAAATAGTTCAGCTTTTGGGGGGGAGGGGGGCAAGAGCGGCCTTCTTGGATATTATGTTGAAGATTCCTTGACATACCTTCAAAAAAAAACAAAAAACTTTCGGTTAGTTCAGTGTCACCATTATGTGCCTGTTAGTATCAATGCAGGTTTCTGTATGGACTTAAATTTGCTTGTAATTGGGGTTAGTTAGTATGACAGCCCCTCACACTTCCCTCACTCAGAGGTAGATTTTCCCTCCAAACTTTTGTTCCCTTCTGTGACTGAGCTGCCCCAAGTAACGTGGTTTTCTTATTTAAAAGACTGTCCCACCCTGTCACAGAGATATAATTTGGCTTTTAGCCCAGCCCTAGAACCTGAGGGAAGAAGAAGGAGCCCTCTTGGGTTGAACCCCTTCAAATGGCATTTGAGACGATGTAAAAGTCAAACAGAACGAGATTTTATTTAAAAGACGGGGAAGGTAAGGTGTAATCTGAAGTTGTTAACTTCGAGGCAAAATCAGTGGTTGTACAGATTGTAATTCTTTATACAGGCAAATGAGAGTCATTGAAGATGATTAGTTATTGAGATCTTAATACTGAGAGGCATTTCCCCTGTATTTTCCAAACACTACAGTCTTTCTTAATAGAGTGTCCTGTTTCTCTTATTTCCTTGAGGCTGGTACCTTCTTTCAGTACCTAACTCCCTTCCTTTTAATCCCTAATTTCTATCTAGCTCTTGAGGCGTCTCAAGCAGTTTCCTTTCTCAACAGACCAGGGATGATCTCCTCCCAGAGAGAACTCTCCCTGTTTAACTGGGCAGGGATTCTTCTTATTTCCCTAGAAGATATCCTCCCTTTCCTTTGGCCTGAATGGGAGTCTCATCTCACTATTCAAACAACCCTGCCAAATCTCATTTGCCGTTCTCGTGTGAGCACAGGTTGAGACTCAGACTCTTTCAGTTCTTTGCCTGAATTCTCCCTCAGAGCAGATTTCCACCAGTTACGGTACAGAATCCTCTCCCTTCTCTCAAATCAGGACTCTGAATGCCCATTCCCCCTCAGCACCCAGCTAATAAAAAATTCTGTGCCCTTACCTGGAGCTGGCCAGTCAGAGTGCATGGAGCAGCCTGTCTCTCAAAGCTCTCCATTCTTCTTCTTTTTTAAATTTATATTTATTAGTTTTCAAGTTTACAACCATTTGTCCACATAAATATATACATTCCAGAGTCTTTTACTTATTTTCTAACCAACTATACATTCCCGACCACCTTGTTACAAAAATTTCTTCTTTTCCTTGCAATATTAGATTTAATTTATCCATTTCAGCTACTCCCATCAGTCTTTCTATTATTTCTTCTTTTTTGGGTATTTTAGCCCATAGTATTCTTGTAATTGTAATTCTATCACATGTGGTGGCAATGTGTAAGAGTGCAAAAATACTGGAAGAACATACAGAACATAATACAGCAAGTAGTAAAAGTTAAACTGGATCTAATACCTGAAATATACTTATTAAACATGATACCAGAGAAGACCTTAGTTACAATGCAAAGTATCTGATAATATATTTAATTTCAAAGCTCTCCGTTCTTGAGGACATTTAACTCCTCACCTCTCGGTACTAGTGCGGCATTCTGAAGCCCATTTGTGCGGGCTGTCCATCACAATTAGTTTGTGGGAGAATGTTGGTATGGGATGATAGACCTCTCTGGTTTGTAGTTAAATATTAACATAGGGAGTTTTGTGCCCTGTCTTGGTTTCCGTACACTGTGTGCTCCTTAAATAGACGGTTTATAATTTAGGTAGGAGGCAGTGTGGGGAAGGCGGTTCCAATGGTGCCAGAATTTTAAGACAATGTAAAAATGAGCAATCTTTGCAACTTATGGTGACCTTGTAGCCTGGGCCATCCAGGTCAGGGTATTTGAATAATACCTGTTGAAATTTCAGAAGTCTGAGTGGCAGGTGAGCACTGCAGTGTTCATGAGGTACCTTCCCACTGCAAAACTCTTAATTAGGGTTCATATCACCCAGTGGGAAAGAACAGTGAGCAGGATGACATGGGCTTTAAGAGGCTACTAATAAACATTAAATGATTGAAGATTTTATTTGCCCCAGGATAGCTTCTTGTAAAGTGGGACTTTGTGCTCCTCTGAGTCCACAAGGGGCTAGAATTATTTGTCCCTGTTTTAATATTTGAACACTTGTGTATGTATGCAGAACACAGATGTAGTTTAGAGATGCTATAGAACAAAGTTTGAGTCCAGTTGGCACCTTCAAGACCAACAAAGTTTAATTCTGGGTGTAAGCTTTCATGCACTTACTTGGTTTTAAAGGTGTCCAGGATTCAAACTTTGTCCTGTTGCTTCAGAGCAGCGCGGCCACCCACCTGAATCAACTTTAGAGATGCTAATTATTGTTCCCATGGATGGTCCAGCGTTCCAAGTCCAAAAACAACAGAACGGGACCCCTTTGTTTTAGTTCAGCAATTTATGGTAGCATCTCGTTTGCAGGAAATGTCACTGCATGGTGATGAACCTTTAAGCCGAAGACCAAAACCAGAGGCTCCTTTCTCATTGCTCCCACGCTCAAAAACAGCAGCATTGCAACACGGCCCCTGGCAACACTGACTGACCGAGAATCCTCAGGGCTAGGAATTATCTGACTGGGTATGGAAGACCCGAAAATTAGCCAGGCAGTGTCTGTGCACAACATCCCTTAGCAGCATCTCAAAAACGAGTGGCCTGTTTCTGCAAGGGGAGCTGGGGGGAGGGCTCTGCAGCTTACCTGGCTGCTTCTTGCTCTGACTGAGGGCTGCTGGGAGCAGGGGGTGGGGCTTGTTGCATGTGCCTGCCCCCTGGGCTCTTTACTGCCGGAGCTCAGCTCCTGTGCGCTCCTGCAGGAAATGACCCCTGGTAGCATCTCATTTGCAGGAAATGTCACTGCACGGTGATGGACCTTTAAGCTGAAGACCAAAACCAGAGGCACTTCCCCTCAACATCGTTCTCATTGCTCCCACGCTCAAAAACAGCAGCATTGCAACACAGCCCCTGGCAGCACTGACTGACCCAGAATCCTCAGGGCTAGGAATTATCTGACTGGGTATGGAAGACCCGAAAATTAGCCAGGCAGTGTCTGTGCACAACATTCCTTAGCAGCATATCAAAAACAAGTGGCCTGTTTCTGCAGAGAGAGATGCCTGATAAGTTGTTCTAGAAAGTGTGGGTCTGTGGGAAAACAAGATTGTTCCTCCTCACCGCAGCTGTTTTGAGTGCCTGAAAAGATGGCCCAAGGCATGGTAAAGGTAAAGGTTTCCCTTGCTTGAAAGCCAGTTGAATCCGACTCTAGGGTCATCTCAATTTCCAAGCCGAAAAGCCAGTGCTGTCCGAAGACACCCCATGGTCATGTGGCCGGCATGACTAAACACCAAGGCGCACGGAATGCTGTTACCTTCCCACCGAAATGGTACCTATCTACTTGCAATTTCTTGCTTTCGAACTGCTAGGTTGGCAGGAGCTGGGGCCAGAGACGGGAGCTCACTCCGTCATGCGGCACCCAGGTCTCGAATTACTGACCTTCTGGCCTGCAGTTCAGTGTCTTAACTACTTGAGCCACCGCAGCTCCTTGGCCCAAGGCATACTGGCCAGTAAAACGTGGGCAATTTCCACTCTACTGTGTCTGACGAAGGGAGCTTTGAGTCTCAGAAACTCTTGCTGGTCTCTCAGGTGCTCCTGAGGTCGAATCTAACTGTTCTACTGGAAACCAACACAGCTGGCCTCTGAACTATCTTTTGGGCAAGGAGATGTCCCTTGGGGAGGGTCTTGATCCACCTGGGCCATTACTGGTAATTCTAAACAAACAGTTCCATTATCTTCACCCAAAGAGTGATTAACACACGGAATTCACTGCCCCAGGAGGTGGTGAACGGCTGCAAGAGGGAATTGGATAAATGCAGGGCATGTATGGAGCAGAGACCCATCGGTGGCTATTAGCCACAAGGTATAGATAGGAACTCTCAGTCTGGGGCAAGGGATGCTCTGTATTCTTGGTGCTTGGGGGGGGGTCAACAGTGGGAGGGCTTCTAGTGTCCTGGCCCCACTGCTGGACCTCCTGATGGCACCTGGTATTTTTGGCCACTGTGTGACAGAGTGTTGGACTGGACGGGCCATTGGCCTGATCCAACGTTGGCTTCTCTGATGTTCTTAATTCTTCAAAATAAAACATCTTAAAGCATTGATGATGTAGGAGGACAGTTATCTTTTCCTAAGAAACTGCAGCATTCCTTTTGGTTTGTCAGTTTCCATCCTCTGTTCTCTCTCCTGGACCACGTTTCCCCACCAGAGGTACATGGGAAATTACCCTGCACCCTGTGGAACCACCTCTTTGAGACGCTGGGGGAGTCCATGATTGACTGATGATGGACAACATACTAGGATGGTTTATAATGGGTGAAATAATTGCAGTGATTAGTGTGCAAACAGAATGCTCAGATTCAGCAGAAATGCTGGTTGGGGCTTTCTGCCAACCCAGGAATGAATGTAGTTCTTAGAAAATGGTTGAAAAGATCCATTAAAGACTCGTTGCAGCAGAATGTACCTTTATTCCTTTAAAGATATGAAAATACAATTTTAGTCACTAATGTCTTTTTTTGTCTACAGCAAATTGTGTATAGTTTAGGAATGTGTAAGGCATTTGGTACGGTGAATAGCATATCCTGGATTTTGAATTCATCAAACGGATGTCCCCTCCTTTGCACTCTCTTCGGTTTCTCCCTGTGGAAGAGTGAAAAGTAGATTATTGTGCTCGTTAATATCACAGCACGGATTCTACAGGAATCAGTGATTTTTAAGGAAGATCGTGCCAAAGCCTTCAAAGATTTTCTATGATCCAGGAAGACCAAACATGAGCTATAGATCAGGATTTGAACTCCTGATCAATATAGCTTTCCCATTCAAATAACAAATCTGAGGAACTTAAAATGTGGGTTCTCCCTCTGAGGTGGAGGACATCTGAAGTGGGTGATTCCCATCCATCTTCCAGGGAGGCAGGACTTTCTAAGAACTTCCTGTTTCCTGTAGTGGAAGTCACCCTTATCTTCAGTTCTTTTCCTGCCTCAACAGGGAGAGCAGCGTGTTAGGCTTTGCCAAACCCTTTGTCTTTATCTTCTACCAGTTTTTCTACTTATTAACCCTCTTTCTTCCCCTTTTTCTTTCAGGCTTCTCCTAGAAGGAGGATTTCCCCCCCTTTTTTTCTTCTCCCCTCAAGCCTGCCTCCTCCGGGATTCGCCCGGTTCTCCTCCCCCCCTTCCGTTTCTCTTGCTGCTCCGCTGCATAGCTCTGCCTTTAATCTTTCGGCCGGTCCTCCCCCTTCCGTTTCTCTTGCCGCTCCGCCGCAGCACTCTGCCGATCGCCCTTTTGTTCGGAGGCCGCTCCGCTGCGCTCACTCTGCTTCAGCCGCAAGCGCCGCAAGCGCGCGGCACACGGGGGCCATTTTTAACTCTTCGTTAGCAATGGACCGGAGCGCAGACGACGGCTTCCTGACCTTAAAATGTGGGGTTTTTTATCACTGGTGAAGCATCCCTCTCTTTATGTAGCAAGTCTTATTAAGTGAGGAACTAAACTGGGGGTCCCCAACGTGGTGACCGGGGTGCCATGGCAACCGCCAAGTGTTTTGGGAAAGTGGGTGGGGCCAGGCGGGGCTTTTGCACAGCAAGGCTTCTGACTGGCCACTGGAGATTTGATTGACTGTGCAAATTTTTTAAAATATTGCTTGGGCCTGAGCCGTTACTAAGGCACAAGGATCCCCACTGTGTGACTGACAGTATGCTGCGGCCATTTCTGGGCAGCCATTTTGAGGCTGTGCCCATCATGCTGCGCCAGAATTCCAAAGGTGCCCTCAGGGTCAAAAAAGTTGGGGTCCCCTGAACTTTACCGGAAACACGACACGGAGCTGTCAGCAATAGTGGCAGTCCTTGGTCAAGTTCCACCTTCTTCTCTGCAACGGGCAATACAACTCATCCCCAGGTCCTCATGGCAAGTAAAAATGCTACTATACGTCTGACTTCCTTCTGTGAAGTCAGGCTGGGGCTATCATTATCACTGCAAGAAATGCAGAGTAGAACTAAATATTATTAACAGCTAGGGCTGCCAGGTCCCCCCCTGGCCACCGGCGGAAGACAGGGGGCGGGTAGGGTTGCCCAATCCAGTTTGAGAAACTCCTGAGATTTGGGGATGGAGCCTGCAGAGGACGAGGGACCTCAGTGGGCCACAAGGCCACATGGAGTCCACCTTCCCAAGCAGCCATTTTCTCCAGGGGAACTCATCTCTGTAGCCTGGAGATGAGCTGTAATTCTGTGGGGTCCCCAGGTCCCACCTGGAGGCTGGCATCCCTATTTAAAGCAACACAGGACTCTTCAAAGATAGAAGCCTTTCCTTCTTTAGTAAGAGGCAATGCCAGCTCAGTGAAGACAGTCTTAGTAAACGGGGGGAAATAAGGTAGGGTTGCCAAGTCGTACCGTAGCTGCAGCAGGGGGAGTCCTGGCCCACTCCGGGAGCTCCTTGGCAGAAGTGACGTCATCGTGTCGGGCATGTTGGGGGCGGGACCACTATCAGACCACAGAGTTTCCCCTCGAATGATAGAGCGTCCCCCCGCACGTCTCCCCGATCCCGGCACTTTGGGGGTGGGGTTCCCCCCAGTGGCCTGATCCGGGCTGGCGGGTAATGGACACATAGCGGAGGGGTTCCCCTGCCCCCCCCCGGGGGACCTGGCAACCCTAAAATAACATGACATACCCTTCCTTGAAGCTGCTCCTGCAGCTTCATTACTGTTTCCCTTTCCCTGGCCAGCTGCTCTTGGGTGACTTGCAAAAGCTCTTTTAATTTGGTAGCTGCACATCCCAAGTCCTTTGATAACTTCTTCTCCTTTTCCAGTCTTTCCTGCAATTAGTATCAAAAGCAACTTTCACTTTTCATGGCAACAAATGTTAGAGATTTCCAAGCAACTACAAGAAGAAAAACGAACACTGGCAGGTTCTTTCATCTCATGTCTTGCAACTCAGTTTTGAGTCACGGGGAAAGCAAGGTTTTACTACCTGCAGCTGCAGAAGGTCCTCTGTTGCAGAGGCTGCTGTGTTCCCTTCAAGACTCAGCTTCTGGTGTTCTGTCTGCAAGCTGCACAATGATTTCTGAGCCTGGAGTTTCAAAAGATTGGGGAAATTCTTTAAAAGGGAAAGTGAAGAAATCCTTCTTTACTCAACAAGTAATTAAATTGTAGACTTCGCTGCCAGTGGATGTAGTATTGGTCACAACAAGCCTAGATGGCTTTGAAAGGGGATTATACACACTCATGGAGGAGAGATCCAATTCTGGCAACTGGTGAGCAAAGAGAACCAATACATTTAGAGGAGATAAGAACATAAGAAGAGCCCTGCTGGATCAGACCAGTAGTCCATCTAGTCCAGCATCCTGTCTCACATAGTGCCTGCCAACTACCGTGTTTCCCCGAAAATAAGACACTGTCTTATATTTATTTTTTCTCAAGAAGACACAATAGGGCTTATACACAAATGCATAGAAATCCTGCTAGGGCTTATTTTTGGGGTAGGTCTTGTTTTCAGGGAAACAGGGTAGTTTCTCTAGAGGGCCAACAACAGGGCACAGAGGCTGAGGCCTTCCCCTGATGTTGCCTTCTGGCTCTGGGATTCAGTCTTAGTCCCTCTGAATGTGGAGGTTCCTCTCAGTCACCATGAGTAGTAGCCACTGACAGACTTATCCACCATGAATCTATCTAATCCTGCATTACTAGGAAACAATAGCAAAGGAAGGCCTTGGCCTCTGTGCCCTTTTTGTTGGTCCTCCAGGGCAGCTCCATGGCTGTGGTGAGAAAGAAGATGCTGGACGAGATGGACTACTGGTCTGATCCAGCAGGGCTCCTTTTATGTGCTTCACAAGTTGCCCCCCACCAGTTGGAAGAAAGGTAGGATATAAATATTTTAAACAGGTATATGTTTCATACATTTTAAAATAAATGTATAATTATTTTGAACGACTGGAACTTGTTCCGTTTTCATTTAAATATGAAAACGAGTGACCTGACAATACCAAAATACATGGATCAAATCAAGATCAACCCCCCCCCCCATTTTTACAGGATGACAATTAAAAGGTGTACAAATTTAGAGTCCAAGACCAACAAAGGTTTATGCAAGGTATGAGCTTTTGTGTGCAAGGCACACTTTTCCAAATACACTGGAATGGTGTATGAGGTTCAGACTTATAGACAGGGAAATTAACATGTAACATGATGATGATACAAGAGTCCAAAATAACAAGCTAAGAGTTCTAACTATGGTGCATTAAGACGATTCTACTGATGGGTTCATGCATATTCGAAGGCTTTTCAGTTTACACCACAGATCTAAGACCTGAATGACAGACAGCCCTCAACACCTGGCTCTGAATTAAAAGCACCCTGTTTGGCAGAATGGCTAAGCCTTTGCTCTCTCCTCTGAGCATTTCAGACACATTCTTAGCCCTCAAAAGGAAGAGCAAAACTCAGTCAAAGAAGGGTGTTTCAACAAAATACTGCACTGCAGGAATAACCCCTCCTCAGCAGCAGCTACAGACCTTGGGAATACCGTACATTTTGGAATAATGATTTTGTTTTTAAAAATGTCTGGAACTTACACCAAAGAGAGAGAACTTACATAACAAAACGGTCTTATCATGAAAGGCCTTCTACATCACTGTGCTGCATCTATTCAATTAATAACTTTCAAATAGTAGCCCAGTGAGCCCTGTGATTTCACGGAACCTTGTCAGGGGTCCTCCGTGAGAAGATCAATAACTGCAGACCCATGTTCCCTCTAAGCTGTGGAGTCTTGTGAGCAAAAATTCTACGTTGTGAGCCACTGGGATTAAAGTTGTGAGTGAGCCATTTGGCTACTGCATAAACTAGTTTGCTCTGGAGCCATCCTTCCTGAGCGAAGACAAAAATGTGTGAGCCGGAGGCTAAAAAACTGTGAGCTAGCTCACACTAACTCAGCTTAGAGGGAACATTGCTGCAGACCAGCTTTGCTACTGACCACCCCCCAAAATGTGTAGCCACAAAGAAGTAGGTGACATGTGCCAAGGGGCCAGTTTGGCGTAGTGGTTAAGTGCACGGACTCTAATCTGGGAGAACCGGGTTTGATTCCCCAATCCCTCCAGTTGCACCTGCTGATGTGACCTTGGGTCAGTCACAAGCTCTGGCACAGCTGTCCTTTAAAAAGAGCCGTTTGTGTCAGAGTTCTCTCAGCCCCACCCACCTCACAGGGTGTCTTGTGTGTGGGGAGGGGAAGGGAAAGGAGTTTGTAAGCCGCTCTGAGACTCCAAGTGAAGGGCGGGGTATAAATCCAATCTCCTCCTCCTCCTCCTCTTGGTTGGCATCAAGCAACAATATCTGAGGAAGTGTGTCATGCACACAAAAGCTTATACCATGAATAAAACTGGTGCCCCGGACTCAGACTTTGTTCTGCTGCTTCAGACCAGCGTGGCTACCCCACCTGAATCTATCAAGCAACCGTGAGGTCCAAAAAGACTGGATGGTCCTCTGCACCTCCCACAATCCTCTGCAAAAGATAGCTAGATGTGAGTCCCGTAGGACCTTAGAGACCAACCAGATCTTCAGGGTATGCGCTGTCTAGTGTCCCAGACACCAAAGGATGGGGTTTGCTGGCAGAGGGACTGGTGTGGAAATGGGTTCCCTGAAGTGACAGACTTTGAAAACCACGTACTTAAGGTATCAGACAAAAAGGAACAGCTGCTGGTAGTATGCAGTCCGCTCGCCAGACAGAACCTTACACAAGGAGTGGTCCTGGACTGAGGTATCCCTGCATTCAATGTCCACATAATAGAACTCCACCCACAATTAAACTTACTTCCTCAAGCTTGGCTGCCAACGTCTCCCTCAGAACACGTTCGCTCTGTAAATCTGCTTCTGTTTGGCCCAGCTGGGTTTTTAACTGTATAGGGGGGAAAGGAACAAGTCATTGCAATTCAGAGACTAGAAGATTTTTTGGTGTAAGGTTGTTACCCTGGGCTAATCGAAGGCAAGTCCCTTAAGAACGAGTACCGGCAGAGGCTCCTCTTCTTGTGCAGAAGTGCAGAAAAGGGCAACTCGAATGATAAAAGGGTTGGAACACTTTCCCTATGAGGAAAGGTTCAGGCGCTTAGGGTTCTTTAGCTTGGAGAAATGATGACTGAGGGGTGACATGATTGAGGTTTATAAGATTATGCATGGGAAAGAGCAGGTAGAGAAAGAGGTACTTTTCTCCCTTTCTCACAATACAAGAACTCGTGGGCACTCCATGAAACTGCAGAGCGGTCGGGTTAGAACGGATAAAAGGAAGTACTTCTTCACCCAAAGAGTGATTAACACATGGAATTCACTGCCACAGGAAGTGGTGGCAGCTACAAGCATGGACGGCTTCAAAAGGGAATTAGATAAGCATATGGAGCAGAGGTCCATCAGTGGCTATTAGCCACAAGGTATAGCTAGGGGCTCTGGGGCAAGGGATGCTCTGTCTTCTTGGGGCTTGCTTGGGGGGGTCAACAGTGGGAGGGCTTCTAATGTCCTGGCCCCACTGGTGGACCTCCTGATGGCACCTGGTATTTCTGGCCACTGTGTGATACAGAGTGTTGGACTGGATGGGCCACTGGCCTGATCCAACATTGGCATCTCTTATGTTCTTATGTTCTTTCTAGCGGGCTAACTCAGAAGACATGTCACACAGGATGTGCTCATTAGTTTTATGTTTTCACAGTTCTTGAGCACAATTTTGCTACTCCTATCCAGCAAAGTCCTAGAAGCACACAGTAAGACATGTGCCTGATAAAGGATTCTGTAGAACCCGAAAACTTGCAAGGTGTTTTGTGTCGTTCGGGTTGGCCTCAATGAAAGGTATTTTTTTCCCTAGCAGTAGAAAAGAGCAAGGGTCCAGTAACATCTTAAAGACTAACAAAATTTGTGGCAGGGGATGAGCTTTCGCGAGTCACGGCTCACGTCTTTGGATATCATGAAAGTTCTTAACCTGCCACAAATTTTGTTAGTCTCTAAGGTGCTACTGGACGCTTGCTCTTTTCTATTGCTACAGACAGACTAACACAGACTTACTCATCATGATTTTTTCTTGATCCCCAGCCAGAATTCTAGAATGACTAAGTGAAAATAGAGACTAGTTCAGCCAGTCTATTAGGAACTAAAGCTAAAGGAATCCTGTGGGTATTGTTACAATTTATCTAGAAAATGTTTTTATAGCGCTGTGCAATTAAAAACCAATGCAAAAGTAAAAGCACAAAGCAGAATGAAAAAGAAATATATCACTTAGCAGAAATGGTGATACAAAATGAAAAGTATCTAGCCACCTAAGGGAAAGCTCGCTTGAACCACCCAAGTTCTAGCTAAGACAACAAAACAGAAGAAGGCGTTTCCTGGGCACTGCAACTCTAAAAAGAGCCTGCCCCAAGTCCCCCCAAATCTCACACCTAAAAAGGAGAGGATGTCTAGCATAACCTCCCCTCTTTCTCTTATAGAAGAGAACACGGAAGGGAAGTTACTTCAGGTAAACAGGATTTTTTTAAGGCAGTATATTTCTGAGGTGTTATCATTTCTTTACTTCCCCCCCAACAAATAGGCCCTCCGGAGATGTTCCGGGGGATAATTAACATCTGGAAAAGGGGAGGATAGTTTACCTTCATCCAACACCAATGTCCCAATCCAAAATTATTTCTAGAGTTTTAACAAGACAGGAGGTCTGACCTCTGACCTTTAAGATCTCATCTGATTTGGGTTAACTCGATAGTGTTAAGTGTTGAATAAAGATGGTATACATGAGGTTTACAAATTTCAGCTTGTCAAACTTGGAACCTCGTTTGCCACGGGTTTTGTATATTTCATCATCACTGACTGTAACCATACTGTTTGGATTCTAAATTTGGGGCATGGGGGAGCAGAGTGTGAGTGTGTGTGTGTGTGTGTGTGTGTGTGTGTGTGAGAGAGAGAGAGAGAGAGAGAGAGAGAGAGAGAGAGAGAGAGAGAGTGTGCTTTGCTTAGCTGCTTTGCAACTGTTTTCTTAAGAGGCCTC